TTCCCTGATTTTTCGAGTCTCCAAAGGAAACGAAAATCAGAACGTTTGACAGAAGGGAGGGAAACGACCTTTGGTTCGAGTTGTCTGGAAGTCTGAAAAATCGAACCGGCGGACTCGAGAAATCGGGAATCCACTTTATATTTAAAATTCCTTTGTCGATCAGACCCCAGACGAAGGCAATATAGTTTAGTGAGATATTGTGCTTTTCTCTAAGGTATTTCCTCCCTTTCTCTTCTTGCCCGTCATCTTGTCTTGATCCAGATAACCTCAAACTTCTCTGAAACGTACGTCCCTCGCAGACAAATCCACGTGTTTTAAAGACACTCTTTTTTATTGGTTAAATAAACTTCATAATTGATGAGGTCTATAGCACGATAGCGACAACTCTATCAAGGTTCTTTGTAAGCTGAGTACAACAAGTCTGATATATGAGATATAAAAAGCAGTCCTTGTTTCTGAGGCGTTTGTCAAAGCTCAAACGTCAGACGCACTAGAGCACTGGAGTAGCAGCCGCTGAATTTTCGTATTCTTAGGGTGCGTTCCTTTGGGGTGATCTGGATCAGGATCAGTGATCCAAAATCACTCGGATCGTAGTTCATCAAAAGAACCGATGAATCCGTGACCAGAGTGGATTCGTTGATTCCTTAGATGCACCATGATCTGAGTGATCTTGGATCACTGATCCTGATCCTGATCACCCCAAAGGAACGCATCCTTATATTCTTAGAACTGGTAACTCTATCTCTATCAATACTTCCCGTATGCAAATAAAGAAAATGATGTTTTAGTAGATAAATATGCCTAGTAAGTCCACTTTCTTGTTTCAAAACACCAAAATAAATAAAAAATATAGATAAATTAATTGTTCTTACTCCATTAGTGTGGTTTGTTGTGAGAGGACTCATGGCTGTATACTCATACAAATTTGTGGCAGTCAGTTTTGAACCTTTTTGATATGCAACTTATAACCAAGTCGAATAGATGGAATGATTGGCGTAATTTTCCAACAATGAACGATCACTTCTTTCTACCCTTTTGTTCAGTTCATTTGCTGATATACTTCGGTCCAGCATGCCAATGTTACTTCGTAATGTATCGATAGATGTTGTACGGGAATCTTCGACGAGTGTCGCTAATGATTCAGCATGGCTTCGGTTTGAATTACCAGGTAACCCTTCTAAATGAAGATTGTTGGTGGCACTATCAAGTCGTCGGCGGAGAAGATCTGGAGTTGATTGACTCATTCGTAACAAGCAACCATCCGTAACAACATTTCCAGATAAATATTTGTTTCTCTCTATCTTATTTACCATCTTTTCTTTACGACAAATTACACTGTGCAATTTCGGTAAGAAAATTGGGAAAAGCACAACCGAGGCCGCCAGCGGATGACTTAACTTGACCGCTCTTCCTCGAACCAAATTCTGCTCGTCCATGGTGCAAACAATGGATAAGACAATGAGATGCAATGTGGCAGCTAAATAAATTGTGAAAGCTAAACCTTTAGTTTCTCGAAACTGCTTTGGAAGTTTGCGGGTTTTGAATGTGTAGACACCACACAAAACAAGTAGGGTGAGATAAAATGAATTTGTGATCAACACACACAAATCTGTAACACTGCACTGCACGACGACTTGTTCTGGTGTGTAGATTCTCAATACACTGTCTTGGTATCTAAAACAAAATCAAGAGTCAAAACTGTATCAGTATGGAGAGGTTTTCATCTGAGTATCGTATAACCAAAACCAAAGAAATCTGGCTAATTACAAAGTACACAAACAATCCAAAGAACCAATCAAAATCGAAGCAAATACACTCATGTGGCGGACACAAGACGCAGGAAACGTGTGCGAGTGAAATGGCAGTTTCTCATGTTTTGGTTCACTTCTGATTGGATGTCAATCGTTTAGCGTAGCAATGTAAAACCAAATCAAATGCGAATTGCTTTCTACACTCAAGTGAAAATCGCTGTAAGATGTAAGTGAAGTGCCAAGTGAAATTAAACCACCGTAATATGTAGACAGTACAGATACTTACGTGAAAAAACCCCAAATTGTCGAGAAAACTATACTTAGTCCTAAGATGAAACCAATCACCAGTAGCTGCGATCGCGTGCTGACAAATGTTGGATTCATAGTTTCACGGAGGGAAGAGTTAAATAGACGATTCACTCTCAAGGTTTTCGAAAACATCACAGCATAACAAGTTACGTGGCCAAGACAGGTATACCCTCTCATGCTACACACGCGTTTATCTGTATGAAGAAATAACAGTTATATTTTCAACGATATCATTTGGGAGTCACCATCGGGACAAAAGGTGCTATGCTCTCTTTTGACTTTGTTAACAGTTAATACGTACCAACCATGATGTTGTGTATATTACGGGCTCGGCGAGTTCCCTAGCCTACATCTTATACTTAAATCATGAGCTCACAATAGCATTTATTTGTTCCTGTGTTGTTTAAGGCTTTTCGGCTTTTTTCCCGTGTGTGCAGAAATTACCTGGTGCTATGAGATCTAAGAAATTCTCGCCATAAGATACCATTATTCCCACCAATAAAACACAACTAAGTCCGCGACTGGACGCTTTGATGACCGGATGATTCTTCAGAGTGACAAACACGATCAGAGTTAACAACGTACAGACGAGTCCAGCCGCTGAGAACAACAAGGTAACCAGGATGAAAGATGGCGACGGGTCCACATTGGCAACAGGTTGAGGCAGGCATTTTGTTTTGTTGACATCTGGCTAAAAAAATAAAAGGTAAACAAATAAATCAAAGCCTTTTTCCCTCCTGATATGATGAGGGCGAGTGAGAGAATTAGTGGGTATGTCGTGTCTTACATTATCAAATTTCTAGCAAACAACTAAACTTTAAATCGGACAAAAACGTTTTATCGCTACGCAAATTTGGTCTTGATTCAATGCTTTGTTTCGGAACCAGAACAATTATTTGAAACTGGCCGAGTGCTCAAATATATAAATGTTCTAACATGGCTCAGGCTTTCAAGACAAACTTCTAAATTGGTTGTGTTTCCTTTGTATCCAAGTTTCTTTTGGGAATTGATGGACGAAAGAAACTTAGAACATTCGCAAATTTTGTCCTGAAAGCCATGTTAGAATATTGATGTTCGAACGTGGCCTGTTTGTGACGTCCTGGATGAGGGTGTTTCTAGCCTGTCACGAACAAGGATATCTTCCCAGATTTTTAACTTTTAGATTTTCAGTCGTATAAATAATTTTGAGATCTGAAGAACTTGAATGAAAAACTAATGACATCATGAAATTGGCAGAAGATCAATTTCAGTAAATGTGAATATTGTAAGCTCTTACGTATTTGTTGCGACAAAATCCTTGCCAGGAAAAGTTGCTGATATGAGATTTTTCGTTTATCAAAGACTTTCTGCAACAAAGAGAAAAGGCCGATACCCTGGTTGCAGTTAAGGTACTACGGACAGCAGAAAGTAAGATTTTCATTTGGTTTCTACAATGCGCAAAAAGTGAAATCGGTCCAAAGAAAAAAAAAAAAAAAAGCAAACCAAAACCTAAAA